TGGACTGACGTCACCTTCTGCTCTTGCCCTCTCCAGTTGTTGCCGCCATTTCCAGTTCGATCTCCACCTGTAGGAGCGTTCAAGAAAGGTTCTTAATATCAGTTTTTGGGAGAAAAACTGATTTGAAGTCGTGTTCACTCGCCCTCCATCAGATTCTTGGTGAAGGATCAGGTTCTTGCTGAAGAACCACCCTGCTGATTCTGCTCCACCCTACGCTGTGTCATCTTCAGTGGGAGCAGTCTTTGGTGATCTCCTTGGGCGTGAACACCTTCATTGGGAGTTGCTACTACTCTATATCAGGTATATCCCTCTCCTACCTTATGGTTTCAGATCTGGTTCGGTTTAGGTTCAAGATTGATCCTTAAAAATGCAGTTTTCTAAAATTGGGAGTGTGATTCCCACATGGGAGAGAGAAATTTTTGAAATTTCCCCATCCTACCTGCAGGGTTTGGCCATCCATATGATGGATCTCTCATCCCTTTAGGTGTAAGATTCCAGTTTTGCCCATCTATCACCATGGTCCAAGGTAATACTAGAATTTGGTCCGGTTCAGGGTTTCAAGAAAACCCACACTGCATGTACCTTAGGTCTCAACCTAGCAGCTGAGACAAGCCACCCCAACCAACTTGGCGGCACATTAGTGTCAGCCTTGGCCGGATAAATCTCCCAGATCTATCCAACGGCTGTGAAGATTCTAAACTAACACGAGTCTCATAAGTGTCTAGTGTAAGGGTATTACATAGAAACACACCACAATGACATGAATTAATTATGTACTTTATTCATATACATTAAATGTCAAAAGATACATCAATCTGATTGGAGCGAACGACATAAACTGTCTGACAAAAAGTAGTCATTGGCTGGTTAAAAAAAGGAGAAAGGGTATTATGGCACTTTAGAAATGAATTTAGGCAGTTCAAGATGCTGTCAAGACATATGCAAATTCAGTTAAGATGGGTTAGGAGGTCTGCTAATGGTTTGGCAGATGGATTAGCTAAACAAGGAGGAATAGACATCATTTGTTTTGGGCTCAATGTTAGTTGGGTGGTGGGATTCTTTGTTGCAATGGGTGTTATTTTTAACAACTTCTTGTTGTATTATTCTCATTTTAAGTTCTAATAGAATTCTTTGAGTTGCTGATAAAAAATTATAAAGAGGTCCCTGCACTAAGACTTTTCTGAGTGGGCACACCCTCCTTCATACTTTGTTTGCATTTTGCCCCTTAATGTGTGACCTCTTAGGTTCACTATTAGGTAGTGGAAAACAATGCTAAATTACTTCAGCATCCTAGATGGAACTCCTTCCAGCTGAATTCAATTAAAAACTCTTTTAATTCACAAGAGTTCCACAAGTCATGAGTACACCTAGCAGTACATCATGACTACCCTAATTGCATGAATTCGACAGATTTGAACCTTTCCATCTACAATTACCATGTGGTAGAATCCTTCTATCTATAATGTCTTGGCATTATATTCAGGACACTTGGATAATGGTGATGCATTGACAGTAGAGTTGTTTAGTCTACTCTAGAGATTAAGCTTTACTAAGCCATTTGGGTTTCATAACTTGGAGGTGGAAGGTGACTCACAAGTAGTCATTTCATGGACAAATAGTACCCCAGTCCCATGGATTTGTAGACACAATCCGGGGAATAGAAAATTTAGCAAGGGAGATGAATGCTGTTTTTAGATGGGTGAGAAGAACAACAAATGGGATGGTGGATAGTTTGGCTAAGCAAGGGACTAGTAGACAACAAATATTTTGGGCAAAATTCTAAAGTTGTCTCTTGGTGGAGAATTTTCCACCTTTGTGTAGTACCTTAGTTTGAAGTTAATAAAATCTTTCTTTGTTGATAAAAAAAGAGCTGAGGGTCATGGTGATTATGTCAAACACCATATAGCTCAATCATATGTCCCACTGGATTGATGGTGACTCATATGGTGACACTTGGAGCTCTTTCCATTAACCATGTTGTTTTGGCCAAGGACTTCTGAGTCACATGGAGAGTAATAGATCCCATATGTGCATTCACATACCTCTATGTATAAGTCACCATAGCTGACATGTGCAGGCCTCATTTTCCTAACTAGGTTATAAGTATTTATATTGTCAAACTATGGAGGCTCATGCACAAGGTATCTATAATGCCTCAGGCAAGGATACCCACTATCTCCCATGCTGTTTGTCTTGGTTACGGAAGTATTGAATCTTTTATTGGAAAGAAGTGGGCAGTTGAGTCTAATTGAAGGCTTCAAGTCGGGCAGAGATAGACCATATATCTCTTATCTGCAATATGCAGATGATACCTTGATTTTTTTAGATGCTTCACTTGAGAAGGTTTTAAATCTGAGGGTAGTTTTGGCAAACTTTGAGCTGTTAACGGGACTGAAGGTGAACCAATCAAAGAGTGTGTTGATTGGAGTTCGGAGGGTTGAAAGGGAGGTTCTAGTGGAATGTGCTGAAGCCTTTGAATGTAAAATTGGAGAACTCCCCTTTATATATTTAGGGATGCTGATTGGGGGATCCTCAAAATCTGGTGCATTATGGAGACCAATAGTGGAAAGAGTAGAGAAGAGGCTGGATGGTTGGAAAGCAAAACACTTATCTTTGGGGGGAAGAATAACCTTAATAAAGAGTGTTCCCTCTAGCCTACTGACTTACTACTTATCCTTAGGATTCTATCACAAGTGGCTGAAAGAATTGAAAAAATTCAAAGGGATTTTCTTTGAAAAGGAGTATGTGGGGAGGGAAGGGGAATGAAGTTTCACTTGGTAAGCTGGGGGAAAGTTTGTACACCAAAAGAGAAGGGTGGGTTGGGTTTTAGGAGAGTCAAGATTTTTAACAAGGCATTGATTGGAAAGTGGCTGTGGAGATTTGGCTCAGGGAGGGAGGAAAAGTCATTATGGATAAGAGTGGTGGTGGGTAAGTATGGGATGGTGAGGTTTGGGTGGGAATCCAGGGAGGTGAGGTCTTCATATGGGGTGAGTGTATGGAAGGGGATCATGAAATTCAATCAGGATTTCATGGATTTATCAAATTTAACCATCCTGGACCCCTCCATCCAATGGATTTATCAAATTGAATTTTGATGGTAGTAGTGAGGGTAACCCTGGACCTTCTGGCATGGGGGGTTCAGAGATGAGTGAGGCACTATTAGGGCTATATTTTCTGGCCCTATTGGTGTAGGTCACTCACTGAGAGCTGAAATCCTTGCTTTGATGGAAGGAATTCAGAAAGCCAAGGAGTTAAATGTTTCCAAACTGATAATTGAAGGGGGCTCAAAGCTCGTTATTGGTTGGCTCCAAAAGGAGGAGGAGATGGACTGGTGGGAGTATATAAATGAAAAAAAGGTTCAGAGATTTGGCTCAAGGAATGGAAATTCAATTTAAATGGATTAAGGGAGATGCCAATAGCTTGGCTGATGCTTTGGCTAAGCAAGGGGTGGGAAGAAGCGACTTGTTCTAGGCTATGTTGTAATGTTTTCTTCTTTTTGGGGGAGTGGGAGCTAAGAGAGTTTGTCTCTCCTCTCCTCCTTGTATTTTCTTATTTATTTCTTATTGATTTTCATTCAGTTATTGATAAAAAAAAAATCAATTAGGATTTCAGGAATCAGGTGTCTAACAAGCTTCTCGGTTGGAGATGGAGCAAGAATCAGGTTTTGGGAGAACATTTGGTGCGGGGCAGGTAAACTGTGTGAGCTATGCCCAAGTCTATATAGGTTATCTGAAGCTGAAGTAACCATAAGCCATTGTTATGAGAGAAGGGGGGAACAGTTGGTCTGGTGTCCAAGGTCCAGAAGGCCTTTGCTGGATAGAGAATTGGAGGAATGCATTTTCCTTCTGGAGGGGTTAGAGAAAGTGAAAATCTCAGCTCGGTCAAGGGATGGATTCTGGTGGAAAGAATGCTCAAATGGGAAGTTCTCTGTTAAATCATGTTATATGGCTCTCATCAGAAATATTTCAGATTCAGATCAGGTAGCTGCTGTTTGGGGAAATCCGGTTCCCCCAAGAGTTGAAACTTTTGCCTGGCTAGTTGCCATGGATAGTATTCTAACAATGGACCATCTGAAATCCAGGGGCTTCAGCTTGGCTAATATGTGTGTCCTCTGCAAAGAACAGGAGGAATCTGTCAGTCATCTTTTCACCTCTTGCAAGATTGCTGAATTCTTGTGGAGGATATTTACTACTATGTTTGGATTCTCAAACTTTCAGCCAGGCACTGCTGCAGGAATTTTTTTCATGGCCAAAATTAAGAGGGAGCAAGAAAGCAAGAATGCTTTGGAGCTGTATACCGTTTGGAATTTATTGGAATATATGGAAAGAAAGAAATAGAAGAGTTTTTGAAGAAAAATACTGGAATTTGGACAAGAGTGTGGCAGCTGTCATCAACTCGGTAGCAGATTGGGTTCTTGCAACTCTAGAATTTAAACATGTCTCCAGGGAGGATTTGGGGGATAATTTCAGCATATCTCAAATTCTTAACACACTTAAGAATACACTATCTTGACATAGATACTTTGGACTATTCATATAAAATGCAACATTAGTGAACATGAATGGCAAAATTGCCCTTTTATTAATAATTGTGAACATTACAAAAATGCCCTTCTTCAATATCACGCTATTAGTTTTAGGGCTATGACTAACATGAACACCTTAGTTAGGATTAGCTTCGAACCAAGGTTGATCTGTTTTGGCTTGGTTTAGCTCTTACCCTCCCATGTTGGACTTGTGTTGGCTGTTCTACATTAGGATTTTTCTTGAGTTGGTGCTGAACTTATAAAACCTACCCAAGCTGCATCCCTTATGGGGCCCTATGGTCCTAATTGGTTAAGTAATTTTGTAGCTTCAGTAACTGTTAAAGAAGTAAAAAGATCCTAATGAAATGTTGATCATAAGAATTTCAGAATACTGTTATTAGAAGAATTAGTGTCATACTTCTCAGTATATAAAGTGTTGAAAATTTTCTAATAGACATTTGAATTTCTGTTCTAGGGTTCTAGTGATTTCCAAGGGCACTGCAGTTCATAAATCATTTCTTGTTCCTTTGTTTGCTCTACAAGCACCTAGAAGCGTGGTCTCATGGATCAAGTAATTCATATGCCATCCTTGATCTTTCCATTTTCCTTTTTTATCACTTGCCAATAGAAAAGCATGTTCTCTTGATCATGATATTATTTTATTTTCAGAGAAAAAGATTGAACATGCTTTTAAATTATATCTGATTGACAGGGGTGAGTATGGAACTTGGGCTGCTTTCTTGGCACTCCTTGTTCGCCTTTTCTTCTTTATTCCTGGTAAGTCGTATAGCTAAATCACCCTAACATGATGACTATTGTAGCTATAGCATTCTTTTGTTAGTCCTGTTTTCACTTCACAACACTTATAATTACATTTTAGATAACCAACTGAAGCATCAATGGTGTTGGACCTTGACTACTGTTGAGCAATAGATCAAATGTAATGATCTATTGAATATGGTAAAATTTTGTATTTTCATGTGTGTAAATTTGAATTTTACATTTTTCAAAGAAAATATTTATTGAATATGGTAAAATTTTGTATAATGGGGATACTGACTAATAACAACTTTTTATAATGGGGAATTGTGTTTTAACTTTTACCTACGGAGCAGTTACTATAATAATTTTCTAATCCAAGCCAATACCCTAATTAAATTAAGTCATAGATAATATGTACCAGAAGGCAGCATGTTTACTGAAAAGCAAGGTTCAAAGTATTGATATGTATTGCATTGTATTGTATGATACAAGTAGAAATCTTGCTGAATTAAAAAATCTGTAAAAGAAAAGATGTTTTCTTGAAGAAGAGAAGAGAGAAGAAGAAGAGGAAGAGGTTTGAGAGAGAAAAGAGAGCTCATTAATCTGGCCGCCCCCTTCACTAGTATTTATATTAAAAATATAAAGTGGAGTACAATGACAAATATGCCCTTATAGGGCGGCAAGCATCTAAAACTGCATAAAACACTTAACAGGCAATCAACAAAGGGCCTAATAAGAGTGCTGTGGTCCCACTATCTAAACAATAAACATATAATAGATTACTGCTAAATCTGCACAAAACTGATTAAATCCTTAACAATACATATTATTTTTTTTTTGAAATTGTTTATACATCAAATATGAAGGTCTTAAGACATCTGTCAATTGCAATTAATGGTAGTAGGTGAGCAATAGTTAGTGATAGATGGACATTGAGTGATGAGAGTATCAACGCTTTTAACTGCTTGATACTGAATTTTTTAGTTTCGAGCATATCAATACTTTGAACCATGCTGATAAGCAAGCTGACATCCTAGTTTTGTCTTCTCCTATCCAACATGTTCTCTTAGTTTTATTCTTTTGTTCCCATTTTATTACATGCTAATGTTATTTGATGATTTCACTCCATTTACCAGAGTTTATTACATGCTTTCTGTTAAAATACAGTTTTTGTTCTAGGGTTATTTTAGTCTTTTCTCTTCTTTTAAATCAGTTTTCTTGGCTCTGTTCTTAAGTCTCTGTATACAGGGGTAGTAGTGTAATTTTACTTTTCATTATGAATTAAACATATAGGGGTGACAGTTCTCTCTCTCTCTCTCTCTTGATAGAGACTGGTTTGCTCTATTCTATTTGACTCTCTCTGCTCTTCTTCTTCTTCTTCTTCTCCATCACTTCTTCTAGACTCATACCAGAAGTTTTCCTTTATTTATTTAACTAAATACAGGCCTGATAACATGGTATCAGAGCCTGGTTGATCAGGTTTCTTGACTGAATTAGTGAAGGATGCCTGGTAGGGGTGCAACTTGGGCGGGCCCAGCCCGAGCCCGAACTGGTCCAACCCGGAATTTTACACGGGCTGGGCTTGGATTTTCAGTCCTCGGGTTGGGCTTGGGCCCAAGACGTCGGGCTTTTTTATTTTTTGGGTTGGGCTCGGGTCCTATCCCTTAGGTAGCCCGAACCCGGCCCAATTATATACATTTATACATATATGTGTATATATGTAAATGTTGCATACATACATACATATATATATATATATATGTATGTATGTATATATAACATTTGTATATACATACATACATATATATATATATATATGTATGTATATATAACATTTGTATAGATATTTTGCATACATATTTACATACATACATAAATATATGTATATATATATTTGTGTAAATACATTTATATATGTATAATTTTAGAGTGGGTTCATTGACCAACTCAAGCCCGGCCTAGGCCCAAGCCCAACCCAAGTGCATCAAATTACAAGGCGGGCTGGGCTCGGGTTGGGCAAATCGGGCTTGACCTCGGGCTCGGGTCTTAAGCCCAAATTTTAAGGTCGGGCATGGGTTGACCATAAACTCGCCCAACCCACCCGACTTGCACCCCTAATGCCGGGAACTGGTTCGACTAAGATTTTCTACTAATACGAGAAGAAAGGAAAGGGAAGAACCTAAAAGGATTGATCGCCCAGAAGGTTCGGAGGCTTCTATGCCTCAAGTTGCTTCTTTGGTTGATTGTTTGATGATGTTTTAGACTCCCTTTACTCGGCAATTTGAAGAGGGACTGTTAATGTGAAGTTTGGTTGATCGTTGTTTGTGGTTGATATGTTTGGTGGGTTGTTCCTTGTGAACCGTGAGGTTAGTGTTAGACAGTGTATGCCCTTAGCTCCAATCAGTTTTAATGTACAGATACATTTATTGTAAATGAACAGAAGTACATTATTGTTTTATGTTATTATTGGTGTTTTTCTGTGTATTTACCCCTTAAACTGGACACTTGTAAGACTCGTGTTAGTTTAGAATGTTCTCAACCATTGGATAGACTTGGGGAGTTTATCCTGCCAAGGCTGACATTGATGTGCTGCCAAAGAAGTTGGGGCAGCTTGTCTTAACTGCTAGGATTAGACCCGAAGCACATGTAGTGTGTGTTTGATTGAAGCATTGAACCCAGACCATTTTCCAGTCATGCCCTGGACCTTGGAGACTGATGGGCAAAACTGGAAAGTTATACATAATCCCTAGACTTGATTATGGTATTGTACTGAGTGTCAGATCGGGCTGTCTTTGATATGCCAATCAGTGAGATCCTTTGTGGGTCAAAACCTGAGTATGTTGGGGCAGTCTGAGAATTCACTTTAGTTGGTGATCATAGTGATAGGATCAGCCCCTTTGTCAGACAGTTAATGATCGGGATTGCACTCTCTCTGATGGAAGCCAAAACCTGCTGACAGTCAATTTCAACCGTGTTTGAGATTTGTTTTGCAAAATATATTTATATGATATATATTATGTTTCAAGAAAAATGTTTGCAAAAGGTTTTAATTCCTGGGACCCATCTGAGCAGAGAGTGCAACACTGCACCTTGCAGTCAGGGGAGAGGTCCTTCCCTGTCGGGTAGTGTTTGATCATTGTGGGCTGAGAGGTTAAGTGTAAGAGACCATTAAGGGTTGTTTACCTGATGGGCTATATCTTACTTAAGTCCATTATCCTTGGGCCTTCATAGGATGGATGGACTCAGGGATCATTTAATTGTAAATGTTGGGCCCATTTTGAGCCCATACTAATGGACTCAAGGGTTCACTGCATTTAGTAGTGAATTCGATTAGGCATTTTCACAAAGGCTGAGCCGAACCCATGTGGGCTTATGTGAGGTCATTGTTGGGGTCCTACGCCATACAAATTGAACCTAAATGGGCTAGCAACTCTCTTGGGATGTGAGCCACTTAGTTAATGGGCCTAAAGTCCATGATTAATATGATTAATCAAGTGGTCACATGACTGCTTAAGCTGTCATGTGACTTGGGCGAATATGGGTTTGGATATGAGTTTGGAGCACCCATTCTCATAAGAGGATAAGACCTATCCACTGATAGAGTTCAGATCCAAATAAAGATTTGGATTACAAACATCCTAATTCGATTAGGAGTGGTGTTTCTTAAGGATTAAGAAAAGAGAGATCAAACTGCATCAGATCACTCTGCTTTCAGTTCTCTCTTCTCTTGCTGCCCAAAAACCCTAGTTTGACCTCCACTTCTTGGGACTGATCTTGATTAGTTCTATCTCTGAATTTTGCAAGAAAATTGTGGAGAAAAACCGTGCTCACCTCCCTCGTTCGATCCATACAATTGGATTGCAGTTTTGCTGAAAACTGCGTTGCTGAACTGGCTTCACTCCAAGTTGCGCCATCTTCAGTGGAAGCTGGTTTTGGGATTCAATTTGGGCGTGAACTACCACTTTGGGAGCTACATCTGTGGAATCCGTATCAGGTATACATCTCCCTCATTTTAGTTTCAAATTAGATCCGGTTTCGGTGCAAAAACGATCCTAGAAAAATACAATTTTTTTTGAAACTAGGGAATGCGATTCCTGGGAGGCTGAAGGAGATTTTTGAAATTTCGCCCAACCATTTTGCGGGTATGAAGTTGGAGGATTGTATTATCTCGATAGTGGCGGATCACAGACAACTCTTCATTCTTCCATTACATCATTGCAGTGGCACTGTCAAATGGGTCATCCTTCTCTTCCAGCTCTCAAGAGTCTTGTTCCAGTGTGAAGTTTGTCAGCTTAGTAAACATCATTGTGTCTCTTTTGTTCCAAGGGAATCTACTAGAGTCTCGAGTCTTTTTGAACTTGTTCATTCAGATGTTTGGGGTCCTTGTCCAGTTGAGTCTTACAATGGTTTTAAATATTTTATTTCCTTTGTTGATGATTTTTCAAGAATGACTTGGATTTATTTAATGAAATCTCGTATGGAGGTGTTTGATATATTTCTCTCATTTTATGCTGAAATTAAGAATCAATTTGGTGTCTCCATTAAATACTTTCGGTCTGACAATGCAAAAGAATATTTCCAACGCTCATTTTGTATGTTCTTTGAATCTCACGACATAATACATCAATCATCCTGCTCCTCCACTCCACAACAAAATGGAGTAGCTGAGCGGAAGGATAGACATTTACTTGACACTGCTTAGGCACTTTTGATTCAAATGTCAATTCCAAAAAAATATTGAAGTGATGTTGTTCTTACTTCTTGCTTTCTCATTAATTGTATACCATCTTCTATATGAAGTGGCTCCTCTCCTTTTTCTATTGTCTTTCTTTCTCAATCTTCGTTTCATTTGCCTCTGCATGTTTTTGGTTGTGTCTGTTTTGTTCATCACTTGGGTCCAGCATTGGATAAATTGGAAATTCGTGCTCTTAAATGTGTTCTTTTGGTACTGTCGGACCTAGAAAGGATATACGTGCTACAGTCCTTCCCTTCACCGCTCCTTTGCCATTCCTGAA